TGCGAAGGGAACGGCTGCGCCGGGCATGCGAGAGTGGCAAGCTTGCTCGACAGCATATATGCGTTTTTTTTTCAGCTCTAACCATGCCCCCAACCCCCCGCTGCACATATTGATTTCTTTGTAGACCAACCATGCAAGCATCGTACTCCCAGTGGCGTAAGTCGTTGCGTTTTGTTTGTGTCAGCGGCAGACACTCGGGGGAAGCTTTTTTGTGAGGTAGTTGCATTTCGGTGTGCAGATGGGGGAAAGGCTTTCAAGATGAGGATCTGCGGTGTTCCCCACTCTCGATGTGGGGTTGTTAGATGTTAAAGTCAGCTATAACTCCCGCCCGCTCCTCGCCCACTGAAACTACCCCCAGAGACTCGTGACTCCATGGAGCGTCGACTGAAATAAATCGAACACTCGAGTGTCGAGCGAGTGCTTGTGGAAATGAGCGTCTACATGGGGAATGGCTGGTTTTGATATGTTGTGCCGCCACCTGTGTGTCGAGTTGGTGCTTGCGAAATCCAGCGTTTACATGGGGAGTGGCTGGTTTTGATGTGCCGTGATACGACTGGTGTGTCTCGAACGGGTGCCTGAAGAGGGGTTTCCGTTAAAACGCAATGATGCCATGCATGTGTGTCTCGAACGAGTAGGCCCTTTGGTTTCCTAGCCACACAAGGGGTATCGTTCAGGGTATCGTTCAGGTATCGTTCAGGGTATCGTTCTGGGTCCACATAGGATACACATTTTTGAGCCCCTCATTCCAATTCCCAGGCCAATTACCACCACCTGCACAACCAGCACCATCTCCTCCAAAGAAGTTCCTGCGCGAGCTGCGCTCGGTACGTGGGTTTCGGCAGAATGCAAAAACGAACAGCCGCACGCAGGTTTTGAGATGAGTTGTTCACTTCTGGGGGAATGTGTGCGGGAGGTGTGCCCTTGCGGGAACGGCAAATGCAAGGACTGCACGCGGGTTTGGGGTCCTCACGGGAGCCGCTTGAGGATCTACGCTCGGTACGCGGGTTTGGCGCTGCGTGGGAGGCCCTGGGACCTTCAAGACATATCAAGGTCAAGGCAAAGTACGTGCATCTCGAAGGCCGTTCTTCACCTGTCCCCGGAGGTGTGCACTTGCAAAATGTTGCAAAAACGAACAGCCACACGCAGGTTTTGAGATGAGTTGTTCACTTCTGGGGGAATGTGTGCGGGAGGTGTGCCCTTGCGGGAACGGCAAATGCCAGGACTGCATGCGGGTTTGGGGTCCTCACGGGAGCCGCTTGAAGATCTACGCTCGGTACGCGGGTTTGGCGCTGCATGGGAGGCCCTGGGACCTTCAAGACATATCAAGATTCAAGGCAAAGTACGTGCATCTCGGGGGCCGTTCTTCACCCGTCCCCGGAGGCCCGGAGGTGTGCACTTGCAGAATCTCGCAAAAACGAACAGCAGCACGCAGGTTTTGAGATGAGTTGTTCACTTCTGGGGGAATGTGTGCGGAAGGTGTGCCCTTGTGGGAACGGCAAATGCAAGGAGAGCATTCGGGTTTGGGGTCCTCACGGGAGGCGCTTGAAGATCTACGCGCAGTGCGCGGGTTTGGCGCTGCAAGGGAGGCCGTGGGACCCCTCGAGACATATATCAAGATCAAGACAAGGTACGTGCATCTCGGGGGCCGTTCTTTCACCTGTCCCCGGAGGTGTGCACTTGCAGAACTAATTACTACTACTACTACTACTACCACTACTACTACTACTACTACTACTACCACTACTATTACTACTACTACTACTACTACTACAACTACAACTAGTACTACCACTAGTAT